AACAGGGTTCAAAAGAGAACTAGATAAATCCATGGAGGTTAAGTCCATTAATGGCATTAGCCAGGATGGGTAAGGAATGGTGTCCTTAGCCTCTGTTTGCCAGAAGGTGGAGATGGATGGCAGGAGAGAGATCACTTGATGATTACCTGTTAGGTTCACTCCCTCTAGGACACCTGGCATTGATCACTGTCGGTAGACAGGATACTGGGCTGGATGGACCTTTGGTCTGACCCAGTATGGCCATTCTTATGTTCTTATGATGTTCCAGATCTGGTCATGAGGTCATGTATCTCTATATATCATTTTAACATATTGTCATCTGTGTAGTATTGCACACTGAGATACTATATGCAGTGTGCATGAGAGACGGTCTGATCTGCACACCAGATACATATCCATTCTGGGGATGTTCAGACCCGAACTTCACAGTTCGGCATCACACACGTGTTACATAGATATGCACACTTCCTGAACTTGCCCTCCAGAAGGCAGCTTCTCTCTACAACTCTGAACTCCTTTCACATTCCTCCACCATCACCCTCTCCAGTCTACCAAGGACACTGATTTATCTCTGCCTCTCAAAAATCAGCTCTGTGACTTCCATGCCGTCCCTTATGCTTGAGGTGCTCTTGAAAAACCTGTTTGCTGAGCCACCTCCCTTGCCACGGTCAACCACTCTTTAAACTCACTGCTGTCATGAAGCCTATGAGGAGTGACTGAGGTGGGCAAAACAGTGCAGAAAAAAACGAATGCTACCACTACAATGTATACATGCCTCAGTGAACTGCGTACCTATGTGTTGTTAATGTCACCAGGATCCTTTCACTGTCTACTCCATTTATGAACCTCATTTGGCACGATATTTTGATTTGAGATTGTAAACTCCTCTGGGCAAGGGCCATGCCTGTACTTGTTTCTGTGAGGTGCTTAGCATATATTTGGGTGGTAGAAAAATATCATATTTATATATTTAATATCATATACAATGTATATATTACACATACACACAATAGATAGATTACATATATAGATATTGCAAAAGCAATTTACAGTAGTTAGCTTTCTCTTCACTAAACCTGTGACAGATTCCAGTTTGTTTTGGATTCTCCTAACTTCTCTAGATGCCACTAACACACACACACACACACACACACACTCTTCAGATAAAGAAGCAAACTAACTGTATGGATGCTCCCTCTATGAAGAACCTATACACACAGCAAACTATCTGCTCATTAGGAATAAATTCAATCAAATTCTGACTTTTAAAACAGCATAAGCTTTTTGTTTTGTTTTTAAACTAAAAGTGACTAGCTGAAAACCATTTCTCTGGTGCCATTTTAAATACTTCTTAAATTAGATAGCTGGTAAGGCATTGGCTGTACAAAGAACAGTCTAGAAAATGAAATAAAGAGGTACTGAAATGCTGTATGTGTTACACTTCTGCCTACCTCTACACATAGGATAGGGTTTCTGAACACCATAGACTTATCCTCACATATGTTGTGGAGCCTGTATACATCTAATACCTTTGGGGATCTAGAACACCCTAAAGCTCAGCAAAAGGAAGAAGGGGATACAGTGAAGGGTGGAGGGCTGAAGGGTGGAATCAAGGGAAAGAAAAGACAATGAGGAAACTTCTGGTAATCCACAATCACTGCCAAATACAAAAAAACTCCCATTGGTCTGAGGACTTAAGCTATTAGTTAATATAAAGTCTAATTATTTTTGCAGTTTGGTATTTTTATTAAACGTCCACTGAAATATGAAACTTTGAGCTAATAGAACACATGTGTAGGTAGAGTTTTCTTTCTGGCATGATTTCATTGGTTCCATGGACAGTCATGCCAGAAAAGCAAGATCTAAATTCAATGCAACTACCAGGACAGAAAATTAAACAGGAAAAAAACAAAAACAAAAAATAAAAAATTAAAATAAAAAAAAACAGCTGGCAACATTACGCAGAAAAAGCTAGTATTACCAGCCTCTGCAAGGTTTGAAATATAGCTATCAGTTTGGAAAAGTTTCACAGATAAAATGTAATGGTAGATTTAAACTACGTTTTGTTTTAGTTAATATGGAGCTAACACAGTCCTATTCTTTGTACCTTGGACTAATTGATGTAAAAGCCCTTTCCTGAGGATCAGGGTGACAATTTAGATCAGGAAAGCTGTTGTACAAAATGGTATCTGAATGGTGGAAGCCCACTGAAGGTCTGCCTGCATGTTTGTGCTAATAACATGTACATTAATAGGTGGAATCTGGAAGCCTGGGATTAGTGCTCCAATGCGATTGCTGGTAGCAAAACTTAAGATCTAATAAAATAGTGGTTTGCAAGAATATTCAATACCTGCTTGAAAGCCATCAAAGTGACAAATTATTCACTTCCCTCATTACTGATGTCCTTAAGTTCCCCTGGTAAGGTGCATTAAAGCTCAAAAACAAAAAGGGGAAAATAAAGTCACTTTTCAAAGTGGTGATGGACAGTTGGGAGAATACAGTAGGCAATGTTCTGAGAAGTACTCCAGCAGTAGAGACCACACACTACTACTTCTCCCGTTTGATTTTGGGCTGTATTGTACATACATATTCAACCTTCAGATAATATGCTACTTTTGGGGAAAGGACTAAGGAAACGTCAGGTACAGCCATTACACAGCATAGTGTACATCTACAATGCTACACAAGGACCTTTCCCACAGCTGCCATACTTCTTTCCTGGCACAACAGAGCTCCAATCCTCACTGAGACCACTTGGCGCTTCTACAATCCAAATAATAAAGCATTGATAATATGCACAAAATCAGGGGCACATAAATTTCATTAAGAATGGAACTAGTATTACCCCAGCCATTGCACACTTGTTCACACTTCTAAGATTGCAGGGAAACAGGAAGTAGTAAGTAGTGTTTCCAAGAGTGCAAAAGTTATTGAAAACTGGTGCCTAGGGGAAGGTACTTGCTTTGATACATGTGCAAGCTGTCCTATGACAAAAGTCCCTGGTGATTCACATGGCGTAGCAGTTAGTTCTGTGAATTTAAATACAAGTGTGCGTGAAGAAAACAATAAAAAGTCTTACACTATTCATTTTGCATCCTGTAACATACTGTGAAAATGAAGTTTGAAAAGTAGGGTCAATGATATCTGCAATACTATCATTTGTGGTTCACAACTAAAACTAATAAGAAATCAGGGGGGAAAATGTAGGCAGAAGTTTTCCAACCAATTGTAGCCACAATCACTTCTGCAGGGCCAGAACTGTTCCTATCAACACACAGTGATGTTCAACTCCAGTAACAGTGAAAAATCCCCTAGTATACATGAACTACTGATGTTAATTAAGCCAAAACTGATTCATCTGCATTTTTCTTCTCTTCTGTTATACAACCCTAATTCTGGAATATATATAACTTTTTCTTATTTATCCTTTCTAAGTTTGCACCTCTTAGAAATCATTTATTAGATCTCCAAAATTTCATGAACTCTTTCAAAAATAGTTCAGCCCTGAAAACTCATATTCACATCATAACTTTTTATTCCAGCATGGGAAACAGCCACACAGGATGTATGATACTCTAATGGGCTCACTTAACCATCACCGCATAGGTACCATCAGCAAAATGTGATCATCCAAATTTTTTGCTTGCAAGTTGATACTGTTTTAATAATAAAAATATTTTAACTGGCATGTATTGGATCTATTTACAGATGCAGAGATTTAGAACATTTACTATGGCATAAATTGTGCCCTACGTGGTATGAAATAACATTTCAAGGAAAAAAAATGCTAGGTTTGTAATACCAGAAAATTACAAATAATCTGCACACCTTGTTAGTGTCACAGAGAAATAAAAAATCCAGGGTTAAATATGCACTATTTCTTCCAATAAGCCTTTACTTGGCATTTTGTTGCATGCAGAAGGGCCAATGGGGTATAAAGGAAGTAGTGAAATGCCAAAAAGAATGCTCCAACATGTGACTTCCATATTATCCTGTTTCAGTGACCTAACAATAGCACTACAACAAGACACCTCGGATTAAAATCGATACAATTAATTTTCTAAAGAGATTTTTTTTTAACAACAGGTTAGGTTGTTTCCCCACATAAAAGGCCAGGAATATTCAAAGATTGAGAGTTCAAATAGTTCCCCAGAGGTTCAGCGTCCAAGTGGCTTGTTTCTTGCCAAAGTTCAAGCCCCTGGACATAGATCTTAACACAGCTTGTATTATAATATTCAGCAGGAACAAAAACAGTTGTTCACTCAAGTGGCCTGGACAGAAGCTTCCCTTACAGGAGTACTTTTTACTGTGGCTATTTTAACCTAACATAACTTGGTAAAGGATGTTCTGTGATCAGATGGATCAGGTGTTAGCAATTTCACTTTCACCTGATACGGAAATTATGTTAATTCAAACAATCTCCCAGAGTCATTGCTGCAGCTTGGGACTCATTTTCATCCTGTCCCACGTATGCATAAGTGCCTAATAAAGCTAACTTATCAAAAAGAACACAACCAGATGTGAAAGATCTCTCTCTCTCTCGACATTCATCCAATACAAAAATATCTGCTTAAATCTTAGCAACAAATATTCTTATGCCTGCATAGCTTGTGGTCCACATATGGCCACACTGACAGTCAATGACAAAAGCATGTAAAGGAACATCCTGTGCACAAGATAATCAGTCCAGTTTAGCACAACAACGAAGAAGCCAAAGACAAGAAATTATAAAACATGTGGATGAAGTATATTATTGCGGGAGTGATGAAATAATGATGGTCAAATATCAAACTGTTTCATCATCAATAGGCAAAATATTAACTGGCGGCTTAACATTTTTTTTCTGTTTATGCCATAAAGATTTAGGTAGAAGACATAGCACACATTTTGGTCATTAAAGCACATTTTGGTAATATGAAGTCAATCCATATGTAACATTTAATTATGAAGACTGAACTGCAACACTACCTAAAACTCAACTGAGAAGGATCAATTCCTACCTGTCCATCTTGACCGACATGAACCTGATGTATCTGCAGATTACCCTGTAAAATAAGAATAAGAAACAGAAGTCGGGAATTAGAAATAAAGTAGCACTTCTCAAGGAGATGTATATTTATTTGAGGAAATCTATTAATTTAGGAAATTCTTCTGAAGGTCTATGTTTTTTGGCAGTAAAACTCAAAGTGCTCCTGCACTTTAATCAAAGAGAATGGATGCCTGTACTACTTTACTGATTTTTTCAATTTTTAAAAAAAGAGTTCTTTGGGGGTGAGGTGGGGGCAAGGGAGTGTTATAGTAAAATGATTAAGTAGCAATCTGTTTATATGGCTTTTATGGAGGTAGATTTTCCCTTCTCATATTCCCTCATTTTTGTAAAATTGCAAACATGCACAATTCAAAACATTTGTCATCCTAAAATTAGTAGAGTAATTTTTTAAATCTTTGGCTGTTATGGTATGTGCCATTCCTAATGGATATAATGTCTGTTATTACTAAGCTATCATTAGTACTAACAGCCATTTCTTTTACTTTATTAAAACTCAACCCAAAATGTGAACAAAGAGTACTATTATAGGAATTTCCAAGGCACGTATTATAAAAGATTCCAAATGCTGTAAACTATTTGCAAAAGACCTTTAGCTATGAACATTGAAAAAGGAAGGAACTTCATTACAGAGAGAAACTCTGATTTAAGTTCTTAAAAAGGTCCTTTAAAAATATGTTTAAGTAAAAAGAAACAAAACAAACCAAGAAAAAAACTCCCCAAAACAATTCAAGCACAAGAGGTAAAATGGCAAATTTCTGTGTGAAAAACACACCCAGTTCTTTCATTTTCATCTTTTTTACACTCCATAATACTGCCAGCACAGTGAATAAAAATCAATGATTTTATTATGAAAAAAAAGAAATTGGATTTTTTTATTTTGTTATTTAAATTATAATAAGTTTTTCTCTTTAAAAATAAACCTGTTTAAAATAAAATCTGAATTTAATAAAAAATATGTCAAGGCCTTAAAATATTTTAATAAAAAATAAATATGCTGAATCCATGAGCCAATCTCAAAAACTTTGAATTAAAGACTGCTTTTCTATATAAAGAAAGAATCAGGAAGAAAACATTTAACTTTTGAGGCCTAGCTTTTTGAATACGGCACAATCGATCAGCCTAAGTAACTTAGGCGACTGTCTCATTTTCAAGAGAATTTAAGCTCCAGTCACCTTCACTTAGGCGTATTTGAAAATGTTCCCAGGCTGACCTGAAATAATCAGTTTATTTTACTGACTACAGTTAATCCCTCTGTTTAGTAAATCATTTAGTTGTAAAGTGAAACATGTTTTGACAGAAAGCTTATGTATCCAAAACATTTAAGGCTGTTTTGTTTAATAAAAGTAAATTTTGTTTTGTGTGTTTAATTAAATTACAATTACCATCCTAAAGCAGTTTGACACAAATCATGACAAAAAGTTAATTATCTAGTAAATAAGCAATATATCATTCACCATTTCCCAATATACTCAAATGTACAATTAATAGAAATCCAAAAGCATTAAGCTATATAATTGCCTAAATAAACATATATAGTTATAGTGTACCCTGCTAGATAGCAAAAATATGTAACAAATCTAGTGGAAAGGCTGTATTTAGTTGTAAATCAACATGTTTTAATGGTTATATCCACCAATGAGAATCCACCTTTCTTTAGAAAATAACTGAAGAACAAATGGAAAAGTTGATTAAAATCAATTATTTAAATCAAGGTTTTCCACTTGGTGAATTAAATCATCTTCATTTAAATCAATCCATCCGGACTAGCTGCAATTCCACTTTCTTTCAAAGGAGTGTATATTGGAATAAATTATAATCCAGATGTTTTCAAACCACATGGTTAAAACGTAAGCCTGTTCCTGGAGTCTTTATATGCAGGCAACTCCCACTAAGGTCAATGGAATTTAGTCTCTGTAGTGACTCCTCATGCCCACACTAGACTCTTTCACAACAAATATCCACCTGACCACAGCTGCGTTCAGAGCCACAGAATTTGAAAATTCATTCTTGTTTTTCTTTACCCCATCCAGCCCCTGAAAGGAGATTCTTTTCACTAAAACTCACTCATATTTATTGTAATAATTTTAACCTCAGAGTGCAGGGAATCAGAACATACCCTTCACCAAAAGGACCCCAGTATACCATACTATTCCATGCATTCTAAAATACATAGGACAGATTGGCTCCAATGGGAGTTTTGCCTGCGTAATAATTTCAAGGCTGGAGCCATAATTCTGGAGAATCAGTTTTCTTTTTGCTGCACTATTTTTATGCCAGGGGGTTGACAGAACTGTAATTGAGGCATGTAGTCACTGCCAGGCTTCTAGAAACTGCTTCATTCTCTAAATACTTTCACTAACAGGAATCTCAAAAATCCTCCTCGTACAGTTCTGCAGCTCCCACAGTGAAAGACACCGTTAGGTATTTTGAAAATATTCTGCAGGCTGCATTACTAAAATGCTTTACTGCTGAACTGCAGCGCTTGTTAAGCACAAATGTTGTACTAGCTATAGTAGAACCCTAAATGTACTATACTTTGCCTCCCATGAAGCCCATTATAAAGCACATCCGCTATAAGCCACAATTTGCTAATACAAAACACATATGCATTCCTTGGTTGGCCAAATAAAACCATAGACAGAGAAGGAGTGTGCTATATTTGCGGAGATTGAGGCATATTTCAATGTGGCTCTACCACATGCATTCAGTTATACTTTCACTGGGTTCTTTCGCTTATTTCAGCATCGCTGAGAACAGTGGTTTAAGAAACATAGCCCTAGTCTCTGACCAGTATCTACTCAGATGACGTGGCATTTTGGCTCACCTCGCTGTCCTGTGTGATTTGGACCTGCTCCCCTTGAGGCACCTGGGCTATGTGGAGGTGACCCTGTGGGATCCGCAACAAAAGAAAACACCAAGAAGCATCAGAAGAAAATCAAAACTAGAGGAAGAAACTATTATCTCAGATTTGTTATAGTTTTATGTATTCGGGGATGGAGGGAAATGATTCACTGAAACTCACAAATGTATAAAAATTGCTTAAAAAATTAAGTGTATCCACATTTCTCCATTCTTTTATAGGAAGATCAAATGGAACAGAACGCCTTGTGGGGAAAGCATTTAACTGTCCAATGATCGAGAGGACACAAATGGGAATAATGATTACATTTATAGAGTGTCTTTCTCCTCAAAAGATCTCAGAGCAGTTTGCAATTTTAACTGATCCACAAACTTGGGACCAAACCTGCAAACAACTCAGAAAGACTACAGGATCAGGGCCTCAGGTATATCAGTAAAATATAAGGATCACTTCTGCCACAGATGAAATGCAGCCACAGCTGAACTAAATACAAAAAGGGATATATAGTGGCCAGGCTTTTACACCTGTTGAGGATCTGGCCCTAAAGAGGTTTTAATAAAGTTGATACTTTACATTGCTGCCCCTTAACAACCACTCCTGAAAGAAATCAAGTATTCCATTTGGTAAAAATTTGGGGAGGAAAGTGAAAGAATTCCTTGAGTATCCAGACTGGCCTAAAGAAGCTTTTGCTACTGTAATTTACCTGCTGATAAACTGGATTCTAAATAACCTACTTTGGGGTTTATAAGGCTTTGTTTTCATTTTAATATGCCTGTATGAAACTGAGATTAAAGATATCCATTTGGAATACCGTCAAAAGCCTTTCTTATTTTATAACACAAGAACAATTGCATGTGAATTTCAAAGAAACACAGACCCCTCTATTTCAAACAGTTTCATTTCCTTTGAAAGGAAACTGTCTATTTATAGGGAGGGAAAAAAAACATACTGAAAGTATCAAACTGACAATAGGGACTGTATATAAAATTAGAGCATAGACTCAATCCATGTTGAGATAAGAATCGCTTTCCCTTCCTAACACCAAGCTCTCAGTGGTTCCCAGGGAAGAGCATTGAAAATTAAAAAGGTGTTATTATGCTGCGTGTATAGTTTTGGTAATTCTTTCAGAATAAGGCAAAAAGATGACTTTGTTCATCTTTGTACCACAGGTCATTTGAAAAAAAACCTGCTCACTCATCCATTGCAGGTATATAGTTAACCTTCAAGGCCAATGATTTTAGTATGGCCACCTAAGCAATTCAAGCACAAAAAAAAAGAAATCATTATTTTTAGTCCTATCCCCCAAAGAAAATTTGCATTTGCAATTCCTGGGCATCCAGTCCAATCCCAGTACTGTTGGTTTGTGTTTTTGCATTTTCTGTGTAAATAATTGTTTGTGACTGAACGTGCAAGCGTGGGCAATGCTGAAATCTGAAGGCCATCAGCAACTCACACACACTGTATGGGGCATGTAACCACAAATGCATTATGCCCCGCTAATGACCCGAAGCCTGATCTACGCAAATCATTTTCCAGAGAACAAAGTGTAATGTCGTTTCCATCTGGTGCAGTCCTGGGCCTCTCTACAGAACCTACTGGACCAGATTTATAGCAGCAATGTTTAGATTTTGACTGGGGATTGCAATAGGTTTCCCAAACTCCAGTTAGATTTAAACTTTGATTCCATAGATAAAAATTTAGTTTTATTTGGTATTCCCTTATCTTTTATATCTACTGCTATGGACTTTTTGTCTACATATCTTATAATGCTAATTTGCATTCTAGAGTGCTCTTCATTCAAGGATCTCAAACATGCTTTAAAAGCCTTTATTAAACCTCACAAAACCCCTGGGAGGTAGGTAAGAATTAATATGATGGCAAGACTAAGATACAAAGGAATTCCCAAGATCACACAGCTAGTCAATGGCAAAGCTGGGAGTGGATCCCAATAGCCCCGACTCCCAGTTCTTTTAAAGAACACTATTTCTCAAAGGGAGGTTCCTCTTTTACAAGCTTACTGCAGAAGAGGGTTTACACCACTGGGTTTGAAAGTTTCTTTACAGCTCTGCCAAATTTCAGAGGTATAATCATTTGGCCTATAGACTAACTCCAATAGGAAATCTAGCCTACAGACCCTCAAGGAAAGCAATTAGCCTGTGATATTGCTCGGGGGCAATGGTCCTTCCCAGAGAAATATAGGATTTGCCATCCATTGTGCATGATGCTCCAAGGAAAGCTGTAAAAATTCATAATTGCATCAAGTCAACTGTGTGATGCTGTACAAGTTAGGACAGAGTCTCATAAAAAATCAGTTTATACCAGTTTATCACCACTTGGTGCCTCTGAGAAAAGGAGGACAGACATGGAGCCATACTTCCTTCCTCCTTCTGATGCTGGGGCACAAATTCCAGTAGCTACAGGGCTGCTCTAATTTATGTTGGCTAGAATGGGTCCCTAGGTATTTTTGTGCCTGTGAAAAATCAGAGTGCATTGCATGTTCCCTTCAGGCCCTGATTATACCAGCTTTATTTCACCAGGCAATTCCCCTACAACACAGAAAAGTTGCTTGATGTTACCTAAAGAAATAACACAGATTGCTACAGACAGTTGCAATACTAAATATGGAATTATATAATAATCCACAAGTAAAAATCACAAATACACTAAGTATTTATGAACTGATTGTTGGAAATGCTGGGCACTTGCAGCTCCCACTTAAATCAATGAGTGTTGTGAATTTTTAGTACCTCTGAAAATCAGCTCTGCCTTAACCTTTAGGCCTGAAAGTCTTGCTTGACGCACTGTTGCCAACTCTTGCTATTTTATGGCAAGTCTCACGTGATATCTGCTGTTTTTCTTAAAGCCAGACTCATAGCTCCAGGATTCATTCTCTCTCTCATACCCAGTCACATCCCACCTTCCCTTACTCCTCCTCTTAACCTCTCACTCTCTTCTGGCTTGTTATCCTCACAATAGAAGCATATTTAAACCTCTGCCATCATAAAAACCTCCATCCTTGACACCATTTTCCTCTCAAACTGCCACCCCTTTTCCCTTTCATCTCTAAAATATTTGAACCGGCTGTTTGGAGTTCCTCTCCTCCGATTCTATCCTAGAGCCTCTCTAATTCGGCCTCCACCCTTTCACTCCTCTAAAATCGCTCTCACCCAAGTCTCTAATGACCTCTTCCTAACCAAAGCTCAAAATCAGTACTCTATCCTCAGCCTCATTGACCTGTCAGCTGTCTTTGACTCCATTGACTATGTTGCTTTTCTTGAAATCTTGTCCTCCCCTTTGGCTTCTTTAACTCTATTTTTGCCTGGTTCTCCTCCTAACTCTCTAACCACTTCTTCAGCCTATCCTTGATCTGTCTCATCCCATTTTCAACTTTCTGAGGGGGTTTCCAGAGGGCTCCGTCCTTAGTCTCCTCTTCTCCCTCTGCACCTTATGTCTGGATAATCTTATCTACAAACACAAATTCAACCACCACTTCTATGCTGATGATCCCAGATCTACCTCTCCACTCCCGACCTTCTCACCAAACTAAAATCTTGGCCTGTCTCTCTGATATCTTTTAATGGATGCCAAGCATCAGATCAAGCTTAATATGTCTTAAACAGAGTTCTTAATCTCCTACTCCCTTCCCCTCCCCAGCCCTCCATGCAAGCTCTCCCTGATACTTCCTTTCTTGATTACAGTAGGCAACACCACCATCCTGCCTGTCACTCAGAGTATCATCTTCAACTCAGAAGTCCTCACAGCCAGGCTATGGTTAAGTCTATGTATTGAAGATTCTTTGTGCGTAGCACCTCTGCGGTATGGCCTTTTCTATGCATCTACACAGTTAAAAGTCTTGTTCGAGCTTTCATCATCTTACATCTCAATTACTGTAAAATCCTTTTCTCGGACCTTGACAAAAACAATCTTGCAAAGATCATTTTCCTGGCTCATTGCTGAGATCATGTCACCCTCCTCATTGCATCCCTCCATTGCTTCTCCCTTCTCTACCACTGCCTACAATGCTGACCAATTTTGTCTCATTGTTTCCTTGTACTTCTCGGTCTCCATTTGTCTTCTCTTATTTTATACTTAGATAGTAAGCTCTTTGGGGACGGGATCAACTTTTTGTTTTCTGTTGGCACAGCACTTAGCACAACGGGGTCCCAGTCCATTACTAGGGCTCCTAAGTGCTACACAGTAATACGGATAATAATGTCTTAATTTGGAAAGCTAGGGGTCCACAATACTACGGATTCCAATACCCTTTTTACCTCACTTCTGCTTTTTCCTTTAAAAATATTGAATTACATACAAAATAGTTCTTGCATTAAGATTGTGACATAAAACTACAAAAGCCAGGGAAAGTTTCCTCAGAGTATACCAACACCATTAATTTAAAAAGCACAATGGCTTGACTTATTGTAGTAGTGTAAGGCTTAACTTTTAAATTTCCTGGCTTTTGTGGATTTGGGTCAAAATGTTAAGTTTATTAAAACATGTTTTTTTTATAATTTAACATCAATATTTACAGCTTTTGCTTATATACATACATTTAAATGAACGCACATGTAAAGGATTCAGCTAACAGATGTCCAAAAAGGGTTTTGAATGCAGTTTACAAAAAAAAGGAAGACACATGAATCATAAATGGATGGATTACTATTTGGAGGGCGGGATTTTTTGAAACATGATTAAGAGGCCTGGGTGGAGGCTCGGGGGATATAAGCTAATTATCTTTTTGGACCACAGAAAGAGCTGAATCTGAGCTATGTGGCACATAAAATGTTCAGTGTTCTGGACTTTTTAAACTGGAAGAGATTATGAAGAATGAGTACATACTACTTGGACTTGGCCATCTTCTCCTATTTGGTGGATTTGAACCTGCTGAGCATTAGCCAGTGCATAGTGTAGGGCCTGTGGCTGGTTCGGCTGGATTTCATTAGATGCTGACACTGTGCTCTGAGTACCCTCTGGAAAGAAAAAGAAAAGACAAAATCCAACCTTATTTCATTTGCACATCTCCATGCCAGTTGCCATGCAATAATGGATAGGTAGGAAACTAACAAACAAACAAACAGAGAATAAGCAGATGCAGAATGTTTATGTTACCCTTATGCTTTGCCAGCAGTTTCATTACTAGCCAACGGGTCAGGTTACAAATTCAGGTACAATAAAAAGGCTTTTGTTATAGCTTACTCTGTGGAACATGACAAATTTACACAGGTATTTTTGCTACAAATGCAAGGTATGCTACAACAAGAAACTCAGAAGGTAGTGTCATGAAGGCGAATGGACCATCGAAATAGCAAAATTTTTAATTTTTCTCAGCTTCTCTAATCCTTAATCCACTTGATCAGCATCTGCCAGCACACCATCTTCCTTCAAGGTTGGAAAGCAACTTTCTGTAATACATATACCAAATTATGCTGTTCCTTTGGATTGCCTGACTGGAGCTATTGAAGTTTATATCATATCTGCAATGCATTCAGTACTGCAACATGGAGGACTAAACTGTTCTGTTCTTGTGAGCAGGCAAAGTGTTGCCAACTCTTGTGATTTTATTGCAAGTCTGTGTATTTTTCTTAACGCCCCAATTGTTGGAGTCAGGATTTCATGAGAATCTCAACTTCCATCAAAAAAATAAGTAAGTTACTAGCCCTCATGGTTGCAGAGAAAAGTGTATCCGAAAATTTAAAAACTAGAAGATAAATAAAAAAGAACCGAACGTGTATTTTTTTTAATTCCGTGATTTTTAACTAATCACAATTTTTTTGAAGCCTGATTCCATTTTGTAACATTTGGAGTTAGCAATACTGAGATACTGACACAGTCAAGAATCCTTCTCTGAAAGAAGAGAATGGAGCAGAGTCGCAGAGCATGGGGATGAGGTTTTTGTGTGCACCCACAAACTGAGACACAGCTAGTTAAAGCTCAGTTACACATGGTTCTTGCAGCACATATGGTATGTCAGATCATCTACTATTTGGATGAACCTTAAAATACCCAACACAACAGGGATGATTAAAATTCAGCGCCAGTCCTGAATTCCCTTCCTTTTATGTGGGAATATTATTTGGAGGGCATTTTTTGAAGTTTAACTGACACCATAATGTCTCATGTATATAGACAGCATTGTCATGTCAACATGGATTTAGAAAAAACTTAAATGTATTTTATTTCCTTGATAATTTGTAACCGCTTTCTCGATGCTATTTTGGTAAATCATATAAATATATATTTAGGAAATTCTTAGAAATGTGAATTTCACTCCCCATTCTCCCCCCACTCCCAATAATGACTTCTTCACTATATGGTAACGTAATAGGGTGCTCTTGCCACACACAGTAGCATTCCATAAAGAGAGACTATGAATCTATATTAGTACAGGAAACCATAATGAAAATATTAAAGACATGAAATGTTACTGCGCTTTTACAGTGGACAACTTTGTTATATTAATACTTTAACATTTTATTTATTGTTTAAACAAAGATTAGATGAGCCTAGTCCGCACAGCAGATGACTAATGAGCTACATATTTTCATTTTAAAGGACACAGTTCGGGGGGGGGGGGGGTCAGTTATTGAAACACAAAACAGAACAAAGGAACCCTATTCCACAATGGAAAACTTCCACTTTAATCTTTTTGAAGGTTTATTCTAGAGACACTAAATGATCTTTAGTACAATAGTGCTCACTGTCCAGCTATTTAGGAAGGACAGGAGACACTGGATGTAGTTTAATTAGGCCACAACTTTATTATTAACTGTCTGGGAGTACCCAGCAAATAAAAGTGTACAGTTCAAGTAATTCCATGATCATTTCAACATACAACAGGTGTGCGTCCATCAACCCTCCCCCTTTCCCATCCTGGTCCCCAGCCCACCTGCTTCTGGGACCTTACCCTCCTCCTATCCTTTAATGAGTGTTAAGGTGGGCTATAAAGAGGGTGGGGGGGGGGTTAGTCATAGAAGCCCTGAACCATCCTGTTTCTGCTCCTTTAACAAATACCTCCTTTAAATCCTTTACTACTCCATTTATCAGATCACTGTATCCCTTCCCTGAGGAGCACCTGCACTGGACATCCGTCCCAAATCAACATAATGAGATGCGATATCATAGCCTAATTCCTGTGTCATGTTTGCCCCAACTCAGCCCCCTCCCTGAACCAGCTGTGGGGAAGGCAACCCCCTCCCATCCCCCCGCCACACACACACACACACACACACACACACACACACACACACACACGCACTTTCCCTCACCAATCTGGAGATGAAGAAAAAATTCCTTCCCAGCTCCCCCGAGAAAGGAGCAACTAGCGCAATGCTGACAGTGGATCCTGACCAAACCTGCTATTTCACCGCTTCCATTGCTGCTCCACCTGATCCAGGTAAAAGAGGGCTTCTCCTGCCCGGCATTTACTTATATAACTTCCCCTCTCTTCTGGTCTCCTAGGTCAGCATCCCCACTCTGATCTGCAGCTGCTGCAAAATCACTCTGTCTCTCTCTACCCCTTAACTGCCAGAGGTGAGTAAAGGCATCTTAAAGTGGGTGTAAAGTTACATTTATATCCACTTCAAGAGGATTTCTTACATTGCCAGAGTATTGTAAACAGTCGTCCCCCCCGCCCTGCTTAATGGGAGGCGCAGTCATTGGCGGCTACTTTTACTAGAGCGTTCTTTAGTCTACAAGGTGCCACAGGACTCTATGTCGCTTTATCCTAGTGTGCTAATATTTTAGCTGCAATGCTCTGAAAAAATAGTTTGTTTAATTAGTATCTGTTCTCACACTCATTGTTTTATGAACAGACTAGTGCAAGACAACAAATTTGTGCTTTTAAACCTGAGTCTGGAAACTGAAAACCAACTCAATATGGCTAAGCTAGAATCTAGTTATTTGGTGGAAAGTTTACTTGTTTTTGTAGTCCAAATAAATAGTTTTAAATTACTTTTACATTTAATTACATAAAAGGCTGTCAAGAGAAAGTATGAATAAAGCAGCCAAGTAAAATTACCAAAAGGAGAAAAATAACTAATGTATAATTGTTATATGTTATGCTCTAATTGTGGTTCTATTCTTGCTATAGATGGAGGATGGGTCAGTGTGCCATACGGCTGACTATTATCCTAATTTACAGAAAGTCAGTGCTTAAATACTCCCTCACAATTTTCATGACGTTTCATGCGTATGTGATTTCTATATCTTGTAATACGAGTTTTTTCACAAGAGTCAGGACCAAATATTTGGCCTGGGCCTAATGGACCCACACTGAAGGAAAAACAAAATCTCCTGTACTAGTTATAAGGACCAGAGACTTTGTACTTGATGTCACTGATCAGGCCCAACATATGATTTACTGTGAGGTCCATTACCAGATACCCCTGTTCAGAGTAAATGGGTTCTGTTGGAATGTATAATGTATTGAACGGGCAATGAAGAAGTCCCACAGCTTGAGGACTTCCTGACTTCTTGTTTATATAGAACATCGCTGTGGTATTGTCTGTCAATACTGATACACATCTCCCCTGTAGATGGGTTGGAAATGTCTGGCAAGCAAGGTGAACCGCATACACCTCACTGACATTGATGTGCAGCGAAAGTTCTGCCTGGGACCAGACACCTTGGGTCCTGAGTCTTCCTAGGTGTGCATCCCATCCCATCGCTGGTGCATCTGTGACTAGGGACAGCGATGACTGAGGCCTGGAGAAAGGTATTCCCGCACATACTGCTTGCAGTCGAGCCACCACCAGAGGGACTAAGGACTGTATTATTATTTAGTTAAATTAATTGGGTAAATGATTCTTCCAGAAAAACAAACATCTTTTTACGTTCTCCTGTCTGTGTGCCATGAATTTTCATATCATTTTCACGTAACTGATTTTCCATCATTTCTGTTTTATTAAGCATCAATTTATTCCCACAGACTAGGCTATTAGATTATAAGGAATGCCAATTCTGGTTTTCACCTTGCTCCTTACAGGCCACCTCTAGTACATCCAGCTGTGACTTCTTGCTTTCAGCATGTTTTTCAAACCCCACTGCACAAATCAAAAGCTAGTCAGTCCTGGTGTCCAAACACATAATCCTATATTCTCATTTTTTTTCCACCCAGTAACTGTTGGACTCAAGATGAAACTGAATGATGGGGTAAGAAATATGTCTCACCTATAACTTCAACAACATTTTAAAAGTGCATTTCCTATAGCTTGGAACTGACAATTATATCAGCACAATACTATATTTCAGAGAAAACCTTAAACCCCCATTATAAATATGTTCTTATTTCCCTACCAGGAACAGCCTGTAACTCAAGAGTATCCATGAGTTAGCAAGGCCTGCAGACCATTAAAGAAATATTGAAATTCGTTTGCAACTGAATAATACAAAGAGACCTGTATTTGCTGTAGTCCAGCTGTTACTTTACAGATGTTAAAAACTATTTTTGCATCAACAAGCTTAAACAGGGGCTGGTAAGAACTGCATTTTCCAAACTCAATCTGAAGTGGGAGGAATGCGGTCAAATGCATTCAGAACTGTACATCTCTCAAGAAGCAAACTTGCTTATAAATAGACTCCAATCTTTGGCTTCATTGCAATGGCCAGAGTTAGTAACAAAAAAAGAAGAAAGGAAAAGAGAACTCAGCAGTGTCTAAAAACAAAACATCCTTTATGTATAATTGTTTTTCCCCCTCTAAAGCTCTGACCAGGCAAAAGTAATATTTATCCATTTTTAAACATTCCCCATAAAAAACAAATACAAACTTGAATAGCACACAGCTTGAATGGAGGATATGTCAACAGTTATAAATCACCATAATGTAAACTATCTGGCCTCACATTTACAACTTTGATATAACAGAGAATCCCTGGCTCTGAGAAATTGTACAGCTGAACTCTCATGTTGAAATTTTCCACCACGTTTTTTAGAATGGAGGATTTGCTTGGACATCATCTGAACAGTTGAGTT